CCCCACCCCAGCCCAGCTAGGGAAGAGTTAATGGACAATCGGCTTTGGCTGATAGTTCAGGCTCCAAAGTTCAGGCCACGTCGTCGCAGCTACCCGGGAGGAACTGTAAATCTCAGGGCAGTATTTAACAAAACAAAAGCAGCCTGGAATTACATGCAGGTTTGGTTTTCTACAGTACATATTTACTTAATCCCCAAGGTATGTGGCTCCCCGTCAGATCAGCTGGCTCTGCGGGCCTTTCACCCCCCGCCCCCCTGGCTCACAACAGTTTAAGTTTCAAACTAATTCCCTGTTTTTGCTCTTCCTCTGCACAGGGTTGGCTGGAGACAGCCTCAAATCCCTCTCCCATAGCTCTTGTCACTGGGTGAGTCAGCCGAGCCGAGTCCTGGTTGGGTGACAGCCGGCTCGCCCTCCCCACTCTCCGCTCTGGCACCAGGTCCAGAAAACTAGGGGAAGAAGTAAAGGCTCGCCCAGAAGTTAAAGTGCCCGGGAATGCCCCCGCCCCCCACCACGCCAGCCACCACCCCACTTAATGGGGAGAGACCCCCTCTGGAGCTCTACTGGGGGAAGGGGCCGGGGGAAGGTGAGAACAAGGGCTCTTTATCGGCGGCTGCTTACCCGGCCCTCCCTCCTTCCAGGTTTCAAGCACCTCCGCCTCCGAGCGCCTGCCAGCCCGGGCTAGACTCTCCAAGGCCGCTCCCCACGCTCCAGACGCAAACCCAGCATCCCCTCTCGGGGTGCCTTTGGGAGAGTTGCAGCAGCCCAGGTGGGGGCTGGGGGAGCAGGTTGCCAAGGAAAATACGAGGCGCCGGCTAGCAGGCGGCTCCCAGCAAGCCCCAGGAGCGAACACACCGCGAGCTCCCAGGGTGGCGGCCAAGGGGGGAAGGCAGGGGGCGGGGGTGGGGGAGCACAACACCTTCCTAGGAGCGGGCGGAATGTGGGAAATGGGTGGGTCTCCTCCTAAGTTTCGGGGGCCTGGGGGGTGCCGAGGTAGCCCGTCACGGATCCCCGAGATGGGGGACCAGCTCAGGACTCGCCAAAAGAGAGAGTCGGGTGCCGGGAATTTACAAGGTGAAACCGAGTAGCTCCGCAGGGCGCGGGGCGCAGAGAAGCGGGACCGGGCCGGCCTGTTTCAGCTCCCGGGCGCGGGGTCCGGTAGCGGCAGCAGGTGGGCGCCACCTCCCCCTTTGGACCGCTCCGGTAGCCCTCCGCTCCCGCCCGGAGACGCAGTGCCCGTACCTTTCTCGCGCCGCGCTCTGCGAACTCGCGAGCGAGCTGGCGCCCGATGCCTCTCCCGCCGCCCGTGATGAGGACGTTCTCCCGCGACAGGTCCCGCAGCTTGGCGGGCAGCAGCAGCCCGACGGCGGCTTTCACCACCAGATAGACCATCTGCAGCGGGAACGCCACCAACGCGCCCAGCCATTTCCACACCATCCTCCGCGCCGCGGAGCCGGGCAGGGGGCGAAGCTCCCGGACGCGACAGAACCGGAATTTAAAAAAAAAAAAAAGAAAGAAAACACCGCGAGCAATAATAGATACACCCGATCCGGGGGAGGCGTCCCACCTGGCCACTTGGGAAATCTACTCTCCCCCGATGCCAAGGACCGGGCGAGGAAAAATAAAAAGGGGAGCGAGGGAAAAATTAAATTAAACAAAAAAATAGATAGAGCTGAATCCTCCTCGGGAGGAGAAAAGGCGTCTCCAAAAGTTGGGACGCGCAGAGGGGTGGAGGGAAAGTCGGAGGTGCACGCTTCTCCCCCGAAGTTTCTGGCCCCAGCGGCCGTTGGGGCTGGGGAATTCTCAGGTAATGTTTACAGGCAGGGGAGGGGAGGGAGGGGAGGAAAAAAGCCAGCGCCAACCACACGCGCGCACCCTGCTACGGCCCCGCAGTTTCAAAGTGCGCGACTATGAAGAAGGGATGGGGGGTGGGGGGGAGCCCTTTCCAAATTGCAGCTCCCTCTCCACCCCTCCCCT